TTACCTTGGAGCGTGATAATGGCCTGAATTATGGCTGAATTCGGTGAATTAAGGTCCAATCTCAATTTCCCGCTTGCTAACGTTCCGAATTTACAAATGTTTATTAAGTTTATATTCACAGTACACAGAAAATATATCTACCAACTATTTTCGTCACAAAATTGATATCAGAAATTTTGTGTTTCAAATTTTGGTTTCGTCACTCGTTCTTCGCCTTGATAGAGGTTTTTTATTTGATATCAATAGTTTTGTAAGCGCTATTTTCCAAGTTAAAGATTCAAGACACATGAATTCGAATATTTTTCAAATACAATGAAAATATGGATTTTTAGGTTATTTTTGGACCAAATTTATACAAATTATGGTTCATAATGAGGAACAGAGGTATTTTTCGGTGGTATGTGGTATGCATATTGTTTCATCTTTGACTGGAGGCTTAAATTGATGAAATTTTAAAGAGAACATAATTATGCAGTCTTTTTCGAAAAAATGCTCGTTATGTGTGCGGTCAACGGTCAATTTTTGGTTTTTTGCCAATTTGGCCACCCCCACATGAAATTTTTAAGTCGCAATTGACACCACTTGAGAGCTTACTTTAAGACCTTTCGAACGAATATGTATTTGTCCTGGTTATGTCAAGTCTAGGCCCCACAGCGACCGTATGAAATAATGGCCATTTTTGCGTGGCCTTTTGCATAGTTTGCCATTTATACTAACAGTTTTGTAGATTTCTTTTAATTTCATTTGTGACTAACCGCATGCACCTCTCCCGACGATAGTTCACCTTCTGGCCTGGTGGGAGGGAACATAAAATTCGGTATTTTATCGATCTTATGCGAGGAAACTATCAAACATGTAGTTATTTGTTGTTAAGATGTCATATTTCATACATCTAGACATTTTTCTGAAAATTCGAATTTTGGTACATTTGGACGATTTTTGGTGGAAAAGCCATCCAAAACGGTCGATATTTTATTCAATTTTGTTTGGCTAGCACAGAGCATATCTACAGAGTCATTGGAGTACATTTTGGCCCATAAATTACTTCAAATGTTAAAAGTAACATTTTTTGTCCTTTTTGGCCATTTGTGGCCATATTCGCACTATCAAAGGCCATATCGTGAAGACAAGAAATTTCTGGGATATAAGCTATGCGGCATTTTATAGCTTAGACTTGGGCCTAAAAATCGGTAAAATTTTCAAGTGTCCATGAAAGGCTAGTTTTCGAGCTAATGGCCATTATGTGTCCGGCCAAACGGTAACTTTTTGGTTTTTGGCCAATTTGGCCACTCCAAATTGAAATTTTTGGACCTCAAATGGCTTCATTCGATAGCTCACTTCAAGACCTTTTCAATGATATGCATATGTCCGGGGGGTGTCAAGTCATGACGCTTCGGTGACCATAGGGAAAAAAGTCGAAAAGTGACTTTTAGAGGCCGGCCATGGCCAACATGGCGGCCATATCGAAAAGTGCCGGAACAAAAAAGTCTTAGTTTTTTATGTACTTTAATCCCAGAAAGTTTGAAAAAGATCAGAAACAACTACGCAAAATTGGCCACAGACAGACAGACATTTTGATTTTTCATAGAAATTCATATGAAATTTTTAAAATAACAAATTTTTCGAACGGATTGATCGATTTCGACGGTTAGTGGGTCGTTGGAAAGGTATTGAGCTCTAAAATTCGAATATCGAAGTCTCAGGGGTCAACGACCTCATTTAGTGCCATCTATGGTCGTAGAACTGAATTTTGACCCTTTGCTTGAAAGGACCATATTTTGAAGACAGGTGGACCTATTTTCAAACTTTTATATTTTTTCTTGATCTATAGCCCAAGGGCTTTCCAACCATACATCACCCGGGGCCAACGGCATTCTAGGTCTGGATTTCGTATATTACGTGTATATATAGCGAGTTCGACTTTTCAACACACTAATGTGGTTTCGTCACTCGCGCGAACTGCCGTCCGCTGTGATATCGATATTTTTCAATATGAAAAATGCTTGATTTTCCATATGAATCGGCTCAAAAATGAAGTTTGCCTCCACAGATTTACCTTGGAGCGTGATAATCGCCTAAATTATGGCTGAATTCGGTGAACTAAGGTCCAATCTCAATTTCCCGCTTGCTAACTCTTCGGGTGTAGTACAAAATTTCGCCGGAATTGGTCATTGAAATATCGATATTTTTCAATATGAAAAATGCTTGATTTTCCATATGAATCGGCTCAAAAATGAAGTTTGCCTCCACAGATTTATCTTGGAGCGTGATAATGGCCTGAATTATGGCTGAATTCGGTGAATTAAGGTCCAATCCCAATTTCCCGCTTGCTAACTCTTCGGGTGTAGTACAAAATTTCACCGGAATTGGTCAGTGAAATATCGATATTTTTCAATATGAAAAATGCTTGATTTTCCATATGAATCGGCTCAAAAATGAAGTTTGCCTCCACAGATTTACCTTGGAGCGTGATAATGGCCTGAATTATGGCTGAATTCGGTGAATTAAGGTCCAATCTCAATTTCCCGCTTTCCAACTCTTTGGGTGTAGTACAAAATTTCGCCGGAATAGCTCATTGAAATATCGATATTTTTCAGCATCTACCTAATGTATATGACGTCAAAAATGTGTATTGTTTTTTTACGTGCTTAGATCTTCGCTTCATTCAAACCGTGAACATGAGTGAAACAATAATTTTAAATTAATTGTTAAAAGATAAAACCTTATACCGTCTTTCTACATCTGAAATGAAATGCAAATTTTATCTAAAAACAATCAAGTATTTAATTTTTATTTCATTTTATGGGTCGAAATGTGAAATTGTTGAGAAAATATTTGCAATGAGATAATAGGCACTTAGTATAGGCCGTAAATATAATTACATTATATCATCAAGCCAAATAATTTGGCATCCATAATAATGAAAGCGTCAATTGTACTTAGATAATATCACTCTTCCGTTCAGTTTTTTCCCTGATTTTCTGATGATAATAAATTTCTTGGGGGTATGTAATGAAACAATCTTCCATCCATATTTTGCACATCTCTTTCAAATATTGTTAAATAATTTCAAATCTCCGCTTAAAATTTCGTACTGTACTTGGCAATGAAGCCGAAATTTTAATAAAATAACAAATTGAATGAATCATGTTCTCCCCTTGGTAATTTTTTATTAAATTTCGTTATTCCCAAACACGGAGAGTTATCTTCAAGAATTACGTTTGTATTTGACGCGGATGAGTTAGAATGGTATCAATTCACTTTGGTATTACAGTTTGTGAAATGGAAGATTACAAAAATTAAACTTAACGAAATTAAAAAAACACGCATATAAGGAAACGATTCTCAGTTGCTTTATTGATGCAAAATTATCACTTGTCGTCAAGATCGCATCATGATTTTTGATGATGATTTTCAGGTAAAAAAAAAATCGTTAAATTGAAGACTTTATACGCAAAAGTATTTTCTAATAATATACATATATATAGAAAAGTGTCCAAGCAAATACAATTCTAGACTGATTGTCTACTATATACGAATTTTAGATAGCATATCATCTAGTTTTCATTGTATATTTTTCTGTGTGAATATGATTATTCCCACACATTTGTAAATTGATGGAAAATGGAAATCAGAAGTAGTAATGGAATAACATGTTTATTCAACATAAAATGTACGAATTTAGACTTTAAATATGTTTTTTTTAGGAAATATATTGTTTTATATTCATAATAAAGTCTGTGCATATATATTGAATAAAACTATATTATAAAACTTACTACAGTCATATATATCTCGAAATTTCTCAAGCATTTGTCTTACTTTGATTAAATTCTTACGTCGAGCAACATTTATATCTACTTATAAACCGTTTAAATGATTTATGGTTATTAGTTCCCAAAATATCCCCAAATTATGTAAGTTGTCTGCGTTTTGATTTTTTTTTTGGCAAAATCACACGTGCGAATATGATTTGCAATATTTTGTGTGTTTGTTTCAAAAAATTCAAATAAAGTCTGTTGTAAAACTTCAATTTGAAATGTGCAATTTAATTCATCATTAATAGTATCAATAAAAAATCTTCAAATAAAGTTGAGCTAAAACAACGTCAAAAGCGTACACTTGTGCGATTGATAACAATTTTAAAGCAATTTTTATGATGAGCATCATAAATCATTGTTCAGCACTGAAAATTGTATAAGTATGGAACTTCACTTGAAAGAAAGCATCAGTTCACCCAAGTTTGAAGACGCATACCAATTATTCGGGCACCAAGGGACGAGCAGACAAGAAGAAACGAGAAGAAAATTTAAAGAAAAATGTATAAATTACTAGCAATTTTTCTTGCAATTGGTGCCATTAACGTGGCTGTGGTACAATCAAAATCAACACTTAGGGTACAAGATGTCGACGGAAAAATATTGAAATTGTTTGGCATTTCAAACGGTGGAACAAATAAAGTCGAAATCGATGATATAGTAGAAGAATTTGAAGATTTATCAGATGATAAAGTTTCCACATTCGGACCGGCGTTCATAAAGTTTGCTAATTCATTATTTAAAGTAAATGTAGCAAAAAATGACATCCAATCCGACGTCTATGACTTAGAATTCAATCCTCAGTCAATTGCCAACTATTTTGATCGATACGATGGAAGTTTGACTTTGGAAAACGTCATCGTTGTAATCATGAACGTTGTTCCGAGTCTTAAAGAAGCTCTCAGTTCAAGTGAATCCAGTGCTACGACAACCCAACAATCTACAAGTGTTTTTGTGAAATTCGTGTCATCAAGTCAGACAATGACAATTAAATCCATTGTGGCTGTTCTGAAACAATTCTCAAAACAGGGTGTTAAAAAGTTTGGTCCGGTCTGTATACAAATCGCAAAATTGTATGGCTACACAATTACTGAAAAAAATATACCATCAAACGTTTATAAGTTGTCAATAAACATTGAAACAATTATTAATAAATTTAACAAATTAAGTGAACCCATGAATCCAAAATCTTTTTTCAAAATGTTTGGGATTAACATAAATATCAAAACCACAACCACACCAGCTCCAACAACTACTGCCAAAAGCTCCATTTCAACTGCTTTTAGGAATTTTGTTACAACAAGCAATGAAGTGTACGTCGAGCTAGTAAAGTATGGGCTTGAACAACAATCAAGTTATGGTGTTACAACCTTGGGTCCATGCATTATCGAAATGGGAAAATTATACGGTTTTGAACTAAGTGAAAAAGACATACCGTCCAGCCTTATCAACTTAAAAATGAACTACACTAAAGTTTTTTCGACATTGAACAGTAAAACCGAACCAGTGGATGTCCTAGATTTTTTCAAACTATTTGGTATCAATTTCAATTTCAGTGGTTCAACCACCACAGCAGCTCCAACTACCACCACTCAAAGCACTATTTCAAATGACTTTAGGAATTTTGTAACGACAAGCAATACAGTGTACGTTTCTGTGATCAAGTACGTTCTTGAAAAGTATTCAAGTCAAGGTGCTGAAACTTTCGCTGATTGCCTTATCGAAATGGCCAATTTGTTTGGATATGAAATATCCGAAGAAAGCATACCATTAAAGTTCTTCAAAGTAAAAGCAAACTACACATCTAAGTTGGCTGCAGTGGAAGATGAAACCGAAACATTTGATGTACAATCTTTTTTCAATATCTTCGGCGTAACAATTAATTTCCCTTCAACCACAACCACACCAATGCCGGAGGACAATACCATCGATACGAACACTATTTCAGCTGTTTTCAACAGTTTTATCTCATCAAACACTGAAGTAAAAGTCATATTGGTCGAGTATTTGCTTCAGGAGTATGCAAATAAAGGTACTAAAACGTTCGGTTCATTCTTTATCGATTGGGCCGAATTGTGTGGATTTAATATCGATGAAGAAGACATTCCATCGAATATCTTTAACTTAAAGGTAGACTTCGCAGCCGTTTTGTCTATATTGAGGAACAAATCCGGAACAGTCAGTGTCCAAAATATTTTTGAACTATTAGATATCATCATAAACTCAAGCACACCATCCACAACACCAATTCCAGATGAAAACACTATTGATACGACCACCGTTTCTACTGACTTCAATAATTTTATTACGTCAAGTAATAAAGTATACGTTGCTTTGGTCGAGTATGTACTCGAGAAGTATTCGATTCAAGGTGCTGAAACTTTTGGTCAATGCCTTATAGAAATGGCCAATTTATTTGGATACACAATATCTGAGGAAAGCGTATTATCGCGTATCTTCAACTTACAAGTAAACTACACATACATATTGTCCCAAGTGAACGAAGAAAACGAAACATTCGATGTAAAAGATTTTTTCAATTTATTCGGACTCAAATTCATTCCATCCATAACCAAACCAAATTCAGAGGACCATACAATTGATACGACCAACATTTCAACTGCTTTGGAGAATGTTGTTACTTCAAGCACTAAAGTGAAAGTCATTTTAGTAGAGTATATACTTCAAGAGTGCGTCAATAAAGGTTTTGACACGTTCGGTTCATTCTTCATCAAATGGGCTAAATTGTGTGGATTTGAGCTCACCGAGAATGATATGCCTTCAAACATTTTCAGCTTAGAAGTGGACCTTTCAGCCATATTGTCTATCTTGAACAATAAAAGCGGATCAATCGACGTTTCATACCTTTGCCAGCTCTTTGGAATCACCATCAAAACACCTTCGTCAACTACATCAATTTCTACAGCCATACCAATTCTAGAGGACAACATTATTGATTCAACCAATATTTCAATTGATTTCAAGAACTTTATTACTTCAAAAACTGAAATGGAGGTTATATTGATCGAGTATATACTTCAAAAATACTCGAATAGAGGTTCTTCAACTGTGGGTCCATTCATTATTGAATGGGCAAAATTGTGTGGATTTGAACTCACCGAAAAAGTTATACCTTCGAACATTTTCAACTTACAAGTAGACTTCCCATTCATTTTGTCTATTGTGAACGAAAAAAGGGGATCAATGAACATTTCATACCTCTGTAAACTCTTTGGAATCACCATTATTTATGAAATACCTAATACAGATATTAATGTTCCGGATACGGTTTCAAGCGATTTTAAGATTTTCATTACCACCAAAGAAGCAAGCACTATTATTATTAGGTATATAGTTGAAGGCCTGTGGAAAAAAGGCTCTACAATTTTGGGTCCATTCCTCATCGAATTCGCCGATATGTTTAGAATTACATTAACTCAATATGATATATCATCCATCATATACAATTGTCCAGTAACGAGCACAATTATTGATGCTGTATTATATCGGATATCACTGATTGAATATATCACAATTGAAGACCTATGCAAATTATTTGGAATAACAATTATTTTCGACGGTAGTTCTACCAACACACCTGATTGTGAAGGTGTAACAGAAACTCCCAAGGAAGTTTCGACTAGTGAGTATTTGTACACATTTTGTGTTTTCCGATCAAATTTCTTAAAAGTCATTCTCATGAACCTAACAGGTGTTTCAGAACTAGCTACAGATGTACCAAAAGATGTAACAGAAACTCCCCAGGAAGTTTCGACTAGTAAGTATTTGTACACATTTTGTGTTTTCCGATCAAATTTCTTAAAAGTCATTCTCATGCTATCT